CGGGTCTCGAACCCTCAGGCTCAGGCAATCCACTCACCTCAGCCTCCCAAAGGCGCGGGATTACAGGCTGAGCCACCGAGCCCGGCTAAGTCCCAACTTTTTTTTACTGGGATTGCTTAAAACAAGATGCACCTCTAAAGTCAAAGGCAAGTCAGGATAAAGGCTACTGGGGTAAAGGGCAAAGGTCAGCAGCAAGGGGGCCTGGAGAGGTCCCTTAGAGAAGGCCCCTTATCTCTTCCATGTCCTGTTACAGAATCTGGTATTTAGCAGGTGAGTGAGAAACATTTCTTATTTCTTTGACTCAAAGAGGTCCTGGAAGACCTCCTGCAAGTGGCAGGGGTCTCAGGAAACCTAGAGAGTTGACTGCCTGGCTACTTCTGGGTGAGGCCCAGGCTCACTACGGCTCTGCCTGTGTCCCTCCAGCAAATGCTGTATGTGGGCTCGAGGCTAGGTGTGGCCCAGCTGCGGCTGCACCAGTGTGAGATTTACGGCAGTGCCTGTGCGGAATGCTGCCTGGCCCGGGACCCATACTGTGCCTGGGATGGCGCTTCCTGTACCCGCTATCGCCCCAGCCCCAGCAAGCGCCGGTTTCGCCGGCAGGACATCCGGCATGGCAACCCTGCCCTCCAGTGTGTGGGCCAGAGCCAGGAAGGTGAGTGATGACAGGTATGGAGGTACGGACTGGGTGCTAACTCACCCTGTGACCTGGGCTTGATCCATGAAGTGTGTTCTCTGACTGGTCCTGTTATAATAGGCAGTGCTCAGTTTTCCTATTTGTGTAACTCCTGTCAGTGCATCATGGGTCCAGGGTCTTTGGACACAGTGACTGAATTGGGGATCAATGGACGCCTAGGTCTTTGTCACACTATAGGGGCTTCTGGGCTGTGGAAGTCAGTTGGTGGCACTGGAGCCTGGACCCATAGTACCCAACCTGAACCAGCCTCTGCTTCTCTCCAGAAGAGACTGCAGGACTCATGGCAGCCACCACGGTCTATGGCACGGAGCACAACAGCACCTTTCTGGAGTGCCTGCCCAAGTCTCCCCAGGCTGCTGTACGCTGGTTTTTGCAGAGGCCAGGGGATGAGAGTCCTGACCAGGTGAGTGAGGATCCTGCCTCCAGCCTCCATATGTCCTGAGGTGACTTTCCTCCCTGAACCCCAAACCCTGAGCCTTAGGAAGGGGTTTAGGAGGAATCTGCCAAGATCAGCCTAAGAAGAGTATATATTGGGCCCTGAGGTTCCTAGAAGGGGGTGCCCCTATTTCTGCCATCTGGGAATGCCCAGGCTGGATGTGGCTGGAACTCCCTCAGTCTCAGAGGTGAGCAGAAGAGAGGGAAGAGGTCCTGGCTGGTCAGGAAGTCCTCCAAGCTTATTCATACCTCAAAGGGGTCTTGAAGGGGGTCTCTTCTCTAGAGGTTCTTGGTTTTCCTCTGCCCCAGGCCTGGGTCCCTGATCATTGACACCCTTTGCCTCCCACCCCCACCCAATGCCTGGCCCCATACTTCCTCCTTGGAGTCCAGCTGTCTACCCAGGCCCTCTTCTCCCCTATCCAGAAAGGTTTGTCAACCCCAGAGATGGCTTCAGTCTGGGTCCTGAGGATGGGTGTGGCCTGGGAAGGGGAGGGCAGGGAGTGGGTTGATTATAGGAGGGGCTCTCCTCCAGCTTGGGAACTGGAGGAGGCCAGCCTTGGACCAGCTGTTGAGCAGGACACTGAGAAGTTTCCCCAAGGAGGAGGGGAACAACAAGATGGTGTTATACAACATGAACTAACAGTCCAAGCAATCCACCCTCAACATAAGATGCATAGACTAAAAGCCCAGACAGGATTCAGGTCAGAGGCAGACTGGGATCAGAATGGCACTCCTGCCCCCCTTGCTGTGATTGGCACTCAGCCCACCCTGGCTGAAGCTGTGGGTTCTCACTGTGAGGAGAGTGAGCAGTGAAAACCAAGATAGGGAAGGCCCAGTGTGCGTGTGTGTGTGTGTGTGTGTGTGTGTGTGTGTGTGTGTGTGTGTGTGTAGAGTGGAGTGAGTTTCTAAAACCTAGTCCTGGGGCTAGGTTTACAGTCTCCTCCTGACAAGTAAAGCCCCTCGGTTCCCTGGGAATGCGTACCAGGGCCTTCGGAAACCAAGATTGGTGTCCTTTGACTAGGGGCGAAACCAGTCAGTGGAATCCTTGAAAGTCCCCTTTGCTGGCCCTGTTCTGGGCTATGGGAACATGAGGCCCTGCCTGCAATAAGCTCAGGGAGGCCGGGCCTGCCAAGCTGCCAGGCCCCTCCTGGGAAGGAGGAACGGGAGATGAGAAGTACCCAAGCACTGGCCCCAAAGATGGCACATTTGGAAGAGCAGGGGACAGAGAAGCTGGTGGTACATGTCCTACCCACACTCCAGTCACGCCCTCCCACCACCCGGCAGGTAAAGACAGATGAGCGAGTCCTGCACGTGGAGCAGGGGCTGCTGTTCCGCAGGCTCAGCCGCCTGGATGCCGGCACCTATACCTGCATGACGCTGGAGCATGGCTTCTCCCAGACTGTGGTCCGCCTGGCTCTCAAGGTGATTGTGGCCTCACAGCTGGACAGTCTGTTCCCTCCGGAGTCCAGGCCAGAGGAGCCTCCAGCCCGGGGAGGCCTGGCGTCCACCCCACCCAAGGCCTGGTACAAGGACATCCTACAGCTCATCGGCTTCGCCAACCTGCCCCGGGTGGATGAGTACTGTGAACGTGTATGGTGCAGAGGCACCATGGAGTGCTCAGGCTCCTTCCGGGGCCGGGGCCGGGGCAAGCAGGCCAAGGGCAAGAGCTGGGCAGGGCTGGAGCTGGGCAAGAAAATGAAGAGCCGGATGCAGGCTGAGCACAATCGGACACCCCGGGAGGTAGAGGCCACGTAGAAAAGGGCAGAGGAGGGGTGGTCAGGATGGGCTGGGGCGCCCAGTAGTAGCCCTCAGCATCTCCCACCCACCCAACTAGGGCAGAGTGGGCCAGGATGTCAGATTGCTTCTTAGAAATAGGTGTCTCTGCCCCCACACTCCTACTGGGTCACCTACAGAAAAGACTGGGGGCCTGATGGAGGGACCCTGTGCTTGAGGCTTGCTCCCTGCCCTTCTCTGTGCTCTCAGTTCCAGGCTTGAGCCAGCACCCTCTGGCAGCTGGCAGCCCCATTTGTTCTCAGAGATGCCATTTGTTCTCAGCGATGGCCTGGCTTCCGGAACACATTTCCGGTTGTGCCCGAGGCAAGAGGGTTGGGTGGTTCTTTCTCAGCCTGCAGAACAATGGCCATTCTGAGTGACCCTCAGAGTGAGTGTGTGGGTGGGTCTAAGGGGGTATCTGAGCAGGGGGCCCTCAGGCAGCCAGAGAAGTGTAGAAGTGGTCTCTAAGTGAGCATCCTTTAAAGCACGCCTACCCTGACCGAGTTGAGGACAGAAAGTGGAGGTCTTGAGAAGGCAGAATAGCAAGACAACACTTCCTGTCATGCCTGAATATCTTGGGGCTCCCTGCCAAGGTCTACTACCTCTTGTCCATGTCAATATCACTGAGACATGGGATACCAGAGCCCTCTAGGACTTGGGGTGATCAGGGCCTCCAGTTCCACTTCATAAACCAGGTGAGGGGGTCTCACAGCCTGACTTCCCTTCCCTAGGCCTCGAGCTACCTGGCCGGATTTTCTGGGATGCTCACCCCTCTTGGTAGGATTCCCTACCCCACCATCTGAGGCTCCAGGCTGATGAGCAGGGAGAGTGTGTTTGGGGGAATGTCACCCCTCATCTCTATGGACTAGCAATGGGGAAGAGGAGCTGGAGAAGGAATGGCCTCTCTTTCCCAGGGTGATACATGCATGCCCCTAGCCCAGGGAGGCTGGGAATATGAAGCTCTGTGAGTTGCAGTCCTCAGGATCAGAACCAGGGCTTGGTTTAGGGCCACAGAGGATTGAGAGGCTACCGAGATTGAAGGAAGGTAGGAGACCTTAGCATGGGCTTTGGGACCCAGGCAGGAACAGGCATTCTCAAGGACTCCAAATGGCATCAATTAACTCAGGAGTCACCCAGATGACCAAATGTTTCCAACCCTGGAATCTCTATTTTCTGCTAAATGATGGTTCCTTCATTTAGCAAGAATTTATTTTCTTTTGAGGGGAAAAAGGTAGAGGGGGGGGAAAAGCTAAGAATCGGAAATCCTGCTGATTCTTGGGGTTGAGGCTCTGATGTCAAGTATGCATTCTGCCTGCGTGTGTCGGGGAGGTGTTTTTGCTATCAGCAGTTTCTCTGACTGGGGAACACAGGAGGAGGACTAACTGAAAAGCTGCTCCCAGCTTGCCGAGGAATAAATTAGGTGATGCACAAAACTCACTGGAAGGAGACAAAAGCATCAGGTTTGAGATTCCCTCCATTAAAAAATCAAGACAAAGAAAGGAAGAAAAAAGATTAAAAAAAAAAACAAGATAGGGCTTCCTGCCTCACTGAAACTGAAGCCCAGAGTGCTTTGGGTTTTATCTGTCCCACCCCATACTTCCAGAGAACTGAGATCTGAAGTAGTCACCTCCCCACCCTTGACTGTACAGTAAGGGAACTGGAAGCACTGAGATTAACCTAACAACACCTCGAGAATCTTTCCTGCCTGGGGGTGCTGTCCTTGGGATGTCAGCTGGTAGGAACAGAGGAGAGGTGGAAAAGGTGGGGGCTGGAGAACAGAAGGCAGGGGGAGACAGAGGGGATGAAAGAGGGAGAGGAGAGAATGCAGTGCTCCAGGAAAGGGTGTCAGAGCCGCAGCCAGCTCTGCCCCTCTACCCTAGGGAAGCCAGAAAGAACAACCAGCACTCTGTGGCCTTTAGGCTGGGCCCAGGCTTGGCAGACTTCAGGCAGGGTCCTCTGGGAAGATACCCTGGAAAATGGAGGGAGAAGGAGTACAAGATCCTGAACAATGAACACTTGCACGTGGAAAAGTATGGGCAGCTTAAACCAACCCAACCGCACCCACCCCTGTGGTGCTGTTATTAACCCCTGGAAATGACTTCTATGTGTGAATTCTATTTTTGTATTTGTATGTTGAGATGAGTCTGTGCTTTCTCTGTTTTTAGAGCACACCTCGTAATTACTATTGTTATTTTGTCGAGGAGGAAACAGAGCCTACACGGAAGGGGATGGAGTTAATACTGACATCACATAATTACATCATTATTGTATCTGTGTACTTCTGTACTAAATTATCTGATGCCATCCACATGAGCTGGAAATGAAGAGCCCTCCTCATCCATTCTGTGAGGGAGGTCACCCAGAGTGGCCTCTGTTTCATGATTTTCCAAACTGGTTTAGAGCTGGAAAGGGGCTTAGAGAAACCGCACCCAAGTGCAGTTGGATCGTGTTTTCCAGACGGGTGGGAAATGGGTATCAGGGGAAAGAAAGAGTCAGAGGGCTTTGTCTATGGAGCTGAGATTGCTCATTAAGTTAGGAAAATCCTGCCCTGTGGGCATATGAGACTGACCTTCTTGGAACTTCAGGAAAATGTTGGGCCAGAAGAAAAAAAAAAAAATGCTGGCAAAGAGCAGTTGGGTACGTAGGCAGCTCTGCTTTTTTTCACAACACTTGACATTTGTCACAGCAACACTTGGCCTGGTTCCTGCCTTCCTCCCAGCCACATTCCAATGGATATTAAGGCCTCTGTGTTCATGCCTGAGGGCTGGGACTGTGTTATGGGGGCTGCAGCTTCTGGGAGGAAGGGAGTCCCCAGAGTCTGACCTACTGGGTTGCAGGAGTTTCCTCTGACCATGGCTCCCACTTCCCCAGTGACATCATGCCCCTGCCCAAAGAGCAGACTCCACTGGTGCTGGAGAAAGATGAAAAAAACCACAGGGGTACTTTAAAGATAGAAGAGGGCCGGTGTGGTGGCTCAAGCCTGTAATCCCAGCACTTTGGGAGACTGAGGCGAGAGGTTTGCCTGAGCCCAGGGGTTTGAGACCAGCCTGGGCAACTTGGTGAGACCTTGTCTCTACAATAAATCAAAAATAGCCAGGTGTGGTAGTGTGCACCTGTAGTTCCAGCTACTTGCAAGGCTGAGGAGAAAGGATTACCTGAGCCCAGCAGAATGAGGTTGTGGTGTCTGTGAGTATGCCACTGCGCTCCAGCCTGGACAACAGAGTGAGACTCTGACTCAAAAATAAGATATAAAAATAAAGATAGGAGAGACATCACCCTACCTACCCAGGGAGGCTGCCCTAGTCTCTTGTTTGGTTGGATCCCTTAGCCCATGCTGTAGGCTAGGTCTTAACACGTCAGTCATCAGTCTCATCTTGCAACCAGGGCCCTGAAGCCAGGCCTTTCCTTTGGTCCCCTGTCCCCCTCCATACACACTTAGGCCTGATGGAATCTGAAACCCTGTTATCCAACTGCAAGAAGGAGCATCATGACCACCGACTGAGAAGCAGCATCATGACCTTCTACCTGGTGCTGAGCTGGGAAGGGTGTGCAAATGTGACCTCACAGTTCCTTCTCCCCTTGGATATCACACTCCCCAGGGTGACCCAGCCATCACCGCCTCCCACACCTGGAAGACCTACAGATCAGACTTCTCCCTGGCCCTGCTTCCCTTGAGCCATTTCCTGCCTCAGGGATTCGACCCTGTCTCTGTCATCCTGTGGCAGCTCTTATCTTCTAAGTTCCATGCTCCCTCTGGTGTTTGGGCCTCTGTTTTATGATTTTTCACACAAGTTTAGAGTTGGAAAGGGGCTTAGAGAGATAAGACAAGCGTTTCCAAAATTGTGTCCTGTGAAACAACGATCTCATGAGACCCTCCATGATCTCATGTTCTCCAAATAGACTCTAGGATTTCTGCCCCCTTGACCCCCATGGAACTGTGTGCTGCCTGCATGCTTGCCCTGTGAAGGCCCTGAGAAACCCCGTGATGATATCTTGCTAATTTATGTGCCTACTATGTGCCATATGATTTTCTTAAACATTTGGTTCTCTTTAATTCCATGAAGCAGCTAACATCTCGTGTTTCCAAAGTTTGCTTTGGAAAAATGCTGATTAGACTAATCCCCTCCCTTAACACATGCAGTTAATTTAATTTATTAATCCCTGTCTTCCAAGCCTGTAAACTCTGGAGGCCCTGACCTCCCAGATGGAATGGCCACATCCTGGTTTCCTGTGGCCCTTGCCAGAGGAGGATCTGCCACCCCAGGAACAAGGTTGCCAAGCTGTCAGTCGGCTCCTTGGGTCTGTACTCTGTCCTGCCTCCAGCTCTTGTCCTCCCACATCCCACACCCAGCCTGCTTCTGGCTCCTCCTGTGTCTGGCATGGTCCTCCGTCGAGGGCTAGGATTCACCCCAAGTTGTCCTGCCATCCAACAGACTAGTTTCTAAAGAAGGCAGGAGGCAGGGAGGGCTCAGAATAAGGGAGAAAAACAGTCACTTTCACTTTTTTTTTTTTTTGAGTTGGAGTCTCACTCTGTCGCCCAGACTGGAGTGCAGTGGCCGCTCCCGGCCACCACAGCCTCGACCTGCTGGGCTCCGGCGATCCTTCCGCCTCAGCCTTCCGGGTAGCCGGAACTACAGGCGTGCTACCATGCCCGGCTGATTTTTTGACTTATTGTAGAGATGAGGTCTCGCTGTCCGCGGGCTCAGGCAATTCACTCACCTCAGCCTCCCAAAGGCGCGGGATTACAGGCTGAGCCACCAAGCCCGACTTACTTTCACTTTCTTAAATGGCTGCTATGTTTTTTTGTTGTTTTTTTTTTCATTTAGCTAAGCTCTCTGGTCAGGTCCTAGACACCCTTACGATCCCCTGCTTGGAAGAGTGGGCAGGTAGCAGCCATCAGGAGCCTGTTCTCTCTGTGGACTGCCAGGGGGCCTGACTGCAGCTCTAGTCAGGTGGGTCCCAGAGGACCAGCTCACTTGCCTCTGCCAATCCAGCAAATGGAAGCTTCTCTGGTCAGCTTAGTTCTTCTTAGAACTAGGAGATAGTTGCTCAACAATAGCTTAATTTCCATCCCATTTAGTTTCACCTAAGTCCTAG